GATTCATTTTTCATCAAAACATGCCAAATCATGAAACTTGTTCACCAAGAAATCAAAAATTGCAAATTAGGGTTTGAAATGGGAATTTTTCATAACTTAGAATTTTTCTAAGTTATGAAAAACCCTAATTTTTTCCCAACTTTGCCCCACTTTCTCACCAAGATTCATTTGGATTCAAGAAAAAGTAAAAACATGAAAGTTGTAGCCTATTTCATAATCTACAACTTTGATTCACAAAGTTTTCCCAAAAGAAGCTTGTATCTCAAGTTACAATTTTTGGAACAAGGGTACTAAATCATTCTTAACTTAGTGAAATTTTGACCTTTTTAGGCAAGGTTTTTACCTAACTTCAAGGCCATTTTTCACATACTTCCACTTGGAATTTCAATTTTCACTTCAAAGATGGATTGTATTACACATTCCAAGCTTTCCAAAATGTCCAAGAACTCATCAAACAACCTCATGACTTGAGAGAATCGAATTTTGCAATATGGCAAAAAGTCACTTTTGTTCTTGACCAAGGCATGTTCATACACATTGCCATTTTCAAGTCAGCTTGGTTTATGCTACATTACAGGCCTCTAAACCATCCAACACTCAATAATTTAATGCATACTCATTGTGCCAAAGCCTTATTTTGTGTATCCAAGCATTGTATGCAAGGTTAGGCCATAAATGGAAAAAGTGAAATAGCCATTTTTGCAAAAGCAAGCTTTGTGTCATAATGCAAATCCAAGAAGTACAGATAAAATCCCCTTGGCACAAGTTTAGGGACTAATCACACTGATCAAGGAGAAGCTTTGCATCATGTTTAGGGGTCCTCTACCTGTCTAGAACACAACTTGACCATTGCTTGCTTAAAGTTCAAGAAACACATCATAACATATACCAACTTTCATCTCAGCACAAGCAAGCCTAAGAAAAGTTATCAAACATATCCTAAACATTCATCCTAAGCTGAAGCACGACCCTAACACCTCCAATACCTCCACAAACCCAAAATCACCATCAAACTGCCAAAACAGAGCTCTTACTGCAGTTTGAGGGCCAACTCTCATTCCTTTCATGCTCTCTTGCTAAAAGCTCATCAAACACCTTCCCTACCATCAATACAAGCTAACCAAAACCTAAGACACGACCTGTAACACTCCCAGGCCACTTCACCATTTTCATTTTCTTGTTTTGCAGTTGAAGTTCTCTAGCACGATTCAAGAGGTTTCAGGACAAAGTAAGACTTGGAATAGCATCCTCACACTTCAAGGAAGCTGTACAAATCATCATCTTGCCCTGAAAGCTCCTCCATTGCAAGACACGATTCCAACTGAACAGGTATATTCATGAAGTTCTATCTCTCAATATAGGCATTGTTAGTTTTAGGTTTGTGAAGGAAACATGTCACAATCATAGCCCTGAACATGCCCATATAATTAGATTTCATTTATATTATGTATGCTTAGAGAATTTTGAGTCTGAACATTGATGAAAAAATAGGTCAGGAATTGGGGGAGAAGAAATTCTCCCTCATCTTAGAGAGTTAAGTCAAGTTCTTTATGTCCCTGGATTCGTCTTCTCATACTCTACATTTTTTATGTTGAGAATTTTGCTTGAAAGTCCAGGAATTGGGAGATAGAAAACGCGTGCTTGCTTGAACAAAGATTGTTTTGAGGTTGAAGATGACTGGTTCTGGGCTGGGCCTGGAATATTTTTCTTATTTGCACCATACATTTACTTCTGAACCCCCTAAGCCCATTTTGCTCATTTTAATGATTTTTTGACTTTTCTTTTTTTGGTTTGACTTATTTATTTTTCCTCATAATATAAAAAATATAAAAATAATTTTTTACACCATTTTTGAATTTATTAGGTATTTGTTTGTTTAGATTAGTTTTTTATGCATAAATAAATAAATAGATACATTTTATTAAAGAATACTAAAAAATATGCAAAAACATTTTTATTTTCATTTTTATTTTGTTTTACCTTTCTGAAAATATTTTATATAAAAAATACTTTTTTTATTAAATATTAAATATTATTAATTTGTATATATAATACATATTTAGGAAATAATATATATATATATATATATATATATATATATATATATATATATATATATATATATATATATTTATTTATTAATATATTTAGGTTAAATTACAAATATACATACATTTTTTATTTTTATTAATATTTAAATATAAAAATGCCTTTTTACAAATATACTTCATTTTATTTTATTTTTGTATATAATAAATAAATGTTATACATAATAAATAAATAACACATTTTATTTAAGAAAATTAGGGTTTTGCCCTAAACATGAAAAAACTCTAAAAGATAATACTTTTATTTTTGTTTATTTTGACATGTAAAAATACTTTTTCCATACATACAAAAAATCATTTTTGCATCTTGTATATTTGTTCTTATTTTATTTAATTTGTGCAATTAAATTATCTTGTAAATAATTCAATGTTGATGTAATAGTTTAGGTTTAAATTCCTTGTCAAAATCCCCATTTGAACATTTGTACCCCCTTCCCATATATGGTGTTGTAATAGCTTAGTAAATTTATTTTTTCGCACTTTATTGCTTTCTAATTATACCATGTTAGAATTAGGGTTTGTATGTGAAAAAACGACGAAAATAGTTTGACCTAATTTCAAGATAAACAAGCATGAAAATGGACACACAAATCACACTTGCACCCCCTAGGGTATTCCACTTGTTGCCTTCAATAAATGGGCCATATTGCATGTTAGGTCTCTTTGGTCAAAACAAACACAAATCAAATGATCATAGTCCCTCGATGACGCTTTCAAAAAAAGTTGCCTAAACAAATGATCAAGTCCCTTAAAGAAAATTGCCCAAAGATACTTGGCACCGTTGCAATTATGGTCTAAACGATGACCCGCGCCCGTCCCTTTCACATCCTAACATGAGATTGTCCACCAAATACAATGGTGGAACAAACTTGTCAAAAGGGTTAAAACATAGCAATAAACTTTGAGAAATTTAGGAGTAGATAACCTCTTAGTTACTTGAATCAAACTTGCAAAAACAAAACACTTGCCTATTTTCTAAAACCACACCTCACAACACTTTCAAAACAACTTTCAAAAACAAATGAAAACCTTTTCAAGAGACATACATCTTTGTATACATCCCAACATGGATCATTATAAAGGTTGCCACCACATTGGCTTCTTTTCAAAACAATTTTCAAACCCACACACACAAGCACCATTTCAAACAATTGAAAACAAAAGGCAAGTAATCTAAGCAAGTAACTAAGAGCCCATGGATAACCATGGATAGAAAGGGTGCTAATACCTTCCCTTTCTATAATCTACTCCCCGAACCCAAGAAAACATCTCAAAGGTTTTTGCTGTACTTTTTAAACCTTTCCTTAGGATAAAATAAAAAGTCGGCGGCGACTCTTGCTCAACCGAAACATTTTCGAAAACAAACGCAAAACCATAGTCAGTTCTCCCACCGTATCACAATTAGAATTTAAGAATCTACGATGATCGAGAAATACATTATTTTGACAAAATTCCAATCGCTTCCAATTTGTGTGTTCTTCACAAATAGGACACGCTTTTTGACCTTTAATGTTATACCCTGGTAGATTTCCGTATGCCGAAAAATCATTAATTGTGCCAAACAACATCGCCCTCAAATTGAAACTTTCTTTCCTATATCCATCATAAACCTCCATACCGTTCTCCCACAAAATCTTTAAATCTTCGATTAATAGTGTCAAGTATACGTCTATGTCATTCCCTGGTTGTTTAGGTCTAGAAATTAACATAGATAACATCACGTACTTGCGCTTCATACATAGCCATGGAGGTAGGTTATCAATCATCATAATCACAGGCCATATGGAATGTGAGATACTTTGAAGACCATGCGGTTCATTCCATTTGTAGATAATGCCAGGCGAAGGTTTCTTGCTTCTCCTTCAAAATCAAGATAATCATTATCAATTTTCGACCACTGGTGAATCTGCCGGATGTCGAAACTTTTCATCAATAATTCTTTCATCTGCATGCCAAGTCAAGTGTCTTGCATCGGTTTCACTACGAAACATGCATCTAAATCTCGGAATTATAGGAAAATACCATAAGACTTTTGCTGGGGACAATTTTTTTCTTGTATCGAGATAAACCGCATTTAGGACACTCATTTAACAATGCATATTCATTTCGAAACAAAATACAATCATTTGGACAAGCATGTATCTTATCATAGCTTATGCCAATAGAGCACAACATTTTTTTGGCCGCATATGTTCGATCAGGAAGAACATTATCCTCCGGAAGCATATATTTCATAAGGACTAATAACTCTGTGAAACTTCTATCCGACCATCTGTTGCCCGCCTTTAAGTTGTACAACTTTAATACTGTGGACAGTCTTGTGAATTTAGTGCAACCTTTATACAACGGTTTCTCTGCATCGCTTACCAACCTCTCAAACATTTTGGGACAATCCTGAAGATCTTCTTCAAGTGCTTCTGCAATCTCTTTGACACGATCACAATTGTATGTATCTATGTCATTGTCGTCTGAAGCATATGTCGTACTATCCTCCGGTTCAACATTCCCGTTACTTTTCTCACCATGAAATATCTAACATGTATAACTTCGATCAATTCCATTCCTCAGTAAATGGGATTCCAATCCAAATGCATCAACCCGACCCCCATAACAACAACCCAAGCAAGGACATTTCATTCAACTGGGGTTTTCGGCATGTTCAACAACAAACTTAACAAATTCTAATACCCCATTCTCGTACTCTTTTGACAATCTATTGGAAGACATCCATTTTTTATCCATAATTTAATTGAATTTTTGTTAGCATAAAAATAATATTAAACATTCATTTAAGCAATTTTTTCTTAAAATATTTCAATAATTTAAATTTTTAACATTTCTTACAAATATGTGTGCTATATACACTTGCTATTTGATATGTATGACAACAATTCAAATATCACTAATTTTTTCAGTTTCGAATCTGAGCACACTTTTGAACCATTTCACAGAAGATTTTGGTATCCTAGTAAGGTTGTTTTTGAAATCCACATAGTAGAGTCCAAAGCGCACTGTATATCCCAAATTCCATTCCCAATTATCAAGCAATGACCATGCAAAGTAACCCTTCACATTGCAATCATCTTCCCTGCATTGAGTTCATGTTATCTCAATATCAACATAGCTATCAAGATGCAAGAATTCTATAGTTGCATGAACTCAAGCACTTGTGAAATTTTGCATTAATACCTTATAGCAGCAGATAGGTTTGAGAGATAATCCCTATGATATCTTATCCTCTTGTCATCATTTAATGCCTTTTCTAAGGTCATAAAAGGTCCAGTTGGATCATCCATTCCTGCAGTCAAAAATCTAATAACTTAGCATTGAAATGTATTCAAGACTTATAGACTATGTTATGAAGCACTGAAATAGACACTGACGTACACGATATTAACACTCACACGTGACACATGTAAAATTTGAGATAATTAAGTGTAAATACATGTGTCATACACACGTCTTCAAAGTGTAGGTAGTTATTGAAGTAAAATTAGTTTCTGCATGCAAAACTACTAACCGTTTTCGGTTATGATTACTGGTGTGTTCCCGTATTTGCATTTCACATGTTTCATCAATTTCCTGATTCCCCAAGGGACAATGTGTAGCCAACTCGAAGCTGCCTAAAAAGAGAATCCCGGTGTCGATTTTAAAAAAGAAATTTGGCATGAACCGATAACTAAACACACTTTTTTAGCATTGGTGGTTTGGTTTTCTCCTGAGCATACCTTATCTCCAATTGCAGCTCCTCTTCTATATGCTACATATCAGAAGCTTCCATTCAGGTTAAGATTATGAATATGATGAAATGAACCAAAAAAAGGAGTCACAGTTTTCATCAATAGCTTAATTACCGGTTGTAATAACAGCAGCATCAGATATAGCATCTTGCATAATCAGTTTATGAACCCGAGTCCTATCGTTTCGTGTATACAGCGAGGTATAATGGTTTATGCCAATAAAATCCAATGATCCAACAAGCAAGTTTGAGGTTGCTTTAGTAATCTTTGGCAATCTCTCAGCTACTTGTTTTTGCATTGAGAGTGGATATTTTCCAAAGAAAAGAGGATCAAGAAACCTGATTCACATTAGTCTAATTTCTTAGTTGACACAAATTAAGCTATCAAATTTTGATATAGTTATTATGTTACGACGAGTAATTTTACCATCCAAGTGAAAAATCCATAGCTCTAGCAGCTGCTTCTTTGTCTTCATCAAGTTCGGTTATAGGCTCATACCAAACAGCGTCTAGAGCTATCCCAATTTTACCTCCTTGTGGTTCCTAGATTATCCATCAAGTAACAAAAATAATTTATTAACATTTTCCGCTTCCAGTCTCGTTTTTAAAACATTGAGTGAGACGCAAGGAATGTGATGCTAGTAATAAATTTTTAGTATTAGTTGTATAGATGAAGTGTTTGGGACCTTGAAATGTAGTTGGTAACTTCTGTAGGCAGCAGCATGAGATAAGAGAATGTTATGTGCAACAATGTAAGGTTCCGTGGACGATTTTCCTTTCTTACATACAAGATGACCAAGAAGAGAACATCTTCCTGGTGCTTGAATGCCTAAATCATAACCATGGAGGGCGAAGTTGTGAGGTTCGTTGAAGGTAATCCAGTGCTTAACTCGGTCGCCAAAAGCTTGGAAGCATGTGTATGCATAATGCTCGAAATCTTTTCTGGCAATAATAAGTAGAGATAAATATGAAGCTCATAACAAAAGTACCAACACGAACACTAGACATTGTCTGACAATGACATATTGACATGTCAACACAAATAATAATTCAAAAAAATATCGATATGTCAGCCATCAGATATGCCTTCTATAAAAAATGTAAGTGATGTAGAGGCTTTAGAACATTAGAGCGACTTACATGATTTGAGGACTTAACCATCCTTCATATTTATCTTCCAGCACCTGTGGAAGATCCCAATGATATAGAGTTACAAAAGGCTGTATTCCTAAGTGAAAAAAAATTGATATTTTAGAACATTTTTGCTATAATTTAAAATAAATTCTAAAATAAGTTATCTTGTAACCTTTTTCCAATAAAGTATCAATGAGGGTGTTGTAATATTTTATTCCCTCTGTATTAGGTTCCCCTGTTCCATCTGTTAAATTTAAATTTTTACAAAATGCAGTTAACAATAAAAATCAACCAAACTATACAAAAATTACATAAAATTTTGAAAATATTGCAACTTACTTGGGAAAATTCTTGGCCATGATATAGAAAATCTGTAAGAATCCATTCCCAAATCCTTCATCAAGTTTATGTCATTCTGTATAGTATGGAATTAGTATATGCTTCAAATTCAATTACTGGTTTTGTTGAGTAATTTATATTATGAAAGGACTAAAGTCACATTAACAATATAATATTTAAATTTCATTGGAACACTTTATAATTATATGGTCAAAAGATACATTGCAACTCTTTACACTCTTGAACTTTATTCCATGTGTTCCCTTATTCAGATTTTTTGTTACATAAAGTTTGTGTATTGTTCTCGTCATAATACTTTCATATAACATTATTATTCCACCTGTTCTTATTTATAAGGAAAAAATGACTTTTTAGATTTATTAAATTGACAATGTATTTGATCAATATATTAGTCAAATAAATTAATTATTCAATATATCTAAAAAAATTACTAATTTTGACTCTTCCATTAGTCGGTGCTCATTCTAACTTGTTTATTCTATAGATTGATATTGACAATTTGGCATCACGCATAAAAATAAAACTGATGCAAGTTACGTATAGGTAGAGTAAAGTGCAAGTTACCTCAAATCGGTGATATTGATCCACTGCCATATCTGCATTACTGAAATCCAAAATTCTCCCTACCCAAAATAATTCAAAACCTAAAAATCAGAAAAATTTCTGCCAACTTAAATGAGAAAATAATTCATTTTTCTACCTGGTAATCTTGAGAAAGTGTCCCATATGCTATCTCCTTTGTTTCCTTCATTAACAGCTCCTTCAAACTATATTACATAACACATTCCTTCATTTTCAATTTCTTCTATAAACTATTTCAATTATTGAATCATAATAATAATAATAATAATAGTACCTGGTGAGCTGAAGAAGCAGTTCCAAAGATAAACCCTTCTGGAAAATCTCCTCTGCTAATTGACTCTACTCTTACAAAGAGATTGATTATGAGGAAAATAGTAATAATAATACTCATGGTGTGACTGATTTAAGAAATTTTATCCTATAATTTGTTTATGGTAAGAGAGGCTATATAATATTAATATATAAGTTGTTTGGTTTTGCGTATAGCAAAAAATGCAAGCTATCTTTATCTTAAAGTAGAAAACTATATCTGAAAAAATGCAATCAATGAATTTTTATCTAAAAAGTTTGACTATATAATTTTAAGGGATGAAATTTGGAACAATTGTATGATTTAGGAGAGATGAGAAGGAAACTTGAATACGAGGGAATGGTGAAGTCTACATCAATTGTAGGTTATAGTTACGGGCAAGAGATGATTTGTTTTATTTTCTAAATCCCACCTTACAGGGGTGTTTTTCCATTTTTATACATTTCCATTTCTTAGAGACCTTCTTTTAATGTTGGGTTGGTGAGTTTCTTAACCACGCCATTCAAATGAAATAAGCCATTACTACATGTTAATGTCTATGTTAAGGTATGTTTATAATTATAATATACAGCTAATCATAACTTGTGTCATTAAGGCATAACTAACTTATGCGACCAAATATTAAAGCATATGTGCTGTTTTGATACCACTCTTGCGCTCAAATTTAACACCATATGTACGTTGAATTGTTTTCGAATGAACATTATTTGTGAATAGGACAAATGTATATTAAATTTTATGGATAAAATAAAGTTGTTTAATGAAATGATTATAAAAAATAATTTTTAGTAGTAAAATAAAATTGATTAATGAAAAATAAAATATTGGTTAATGAAGATTTAAAGTTGATTAATAAATGTTCAGATATTATAATTTTTAATAATAAAATAAAGTTGATTAATAAAATATAAAATATTGATTAATAAAGTTAAAAAATTGGTTAATCACACAATTTTATATTGGTATCTTTTTATCTAAAAATATTAAAAATTTAAAAGAATTCTATTTCTTGAAAAATATTTATTATTATAATATTTATTGTTCATCGTATTGATAAACGCAAAATACGATGTAGTGTTAAAATCAGTGTCAAAATATCATTTATGATATTAAAATATACATTTTCAAAAAAAATTGTATATTCAATTTAAAAAATTGAAATATAATATTATTTAAATTTAACTTTTTAAAATAATTTCTTAACTTATATCTTCTAACACACAAGTTATATTAAAAATAATTTCGTTTTAGGTTTTGTTGTTGAGTGTATTCTATTTTTTTGAAATTCCCTTGATAAAAAAATAAAATATAAATTTATCAAAATAAAAAATTAAATATGATTAATTAGAGTTGACTAAATAACTTTATTTTTTGGTAAAAAAATAATCTACATATCTATTATCTATTATAAATATATAAAAGTTCAAGTATTTGGAATAACCACTTATACCCTTTTGAATTTATGTTAAAAAAATTCTGATTTCAGAGTTACAAGTGACTATTTATACCATTGATTCAATTATATTTATTTGACAATTAATGCGTCTGATGTGTCATGCTGGGAGCCTATCTTCACTACAAAAAAGTTGTAGAGTTATTTTTTTTTCATTTTCAAATTCATCTCTTTGTTGATTCTCCATAATTTATCACTATGCCAAACAAGGGATTAGACAGCGCTTTTTTAGGTCTTTAACAGCGCTGCTAAAACCTCCGCTGCTAAAGGTATAGACAACGCTTTTTTTTCAATCACTTTAGACAGCGCTTGGTAAAAGCGCTATCTATTACCCCCCTTTAGCAGCGCTTTTCCTCTTCTTTTTTTTTAATTTTTTTTTCAATCACTTTAGACAGCGCTTTTCATGAAAAGCGCTGTCTATTACCCCCCCTTTAGCAGCGCTTTTCCTCATTTTTAAAAAAAAAAATTTTTTTTCAATCACTTTAGACAGCGCTTTCATGAAAAGTGCTGTCTATTACCCCCCTTTAGCAGCGCTTTTCCTCTTTTTTTTTTATTTATAAATCACTTTAGACAGCGCTTTCATGAAAAGCGCTGTCTATTACCCCCCCTTTAGCAGCGCTTTTCCTCATTTTTTTTTCAATCACTTTAGACAGCGCTTTCATGAAAAGCGCTGTCTATTACCCCCCCCCCCCCCCCCCCCCCCCCCATTTAGCAGCGCTTTTCCTCATATTTTTTTTCAATCACTTTAGACAGCACTTTCATGAAAAGCGCTGTCTATTACCCCCCCTTTAGCAGCGCTTTTCCTTATTTTTTTTTATATTTTTTTTTCAATCACTTTAGACAACGCTTTCATTTAAAACAAAACGCTGCCTATCAAATTTATTCTCACCGTTTTTGCACCAGAAACTATAGCTTCATTATAACATTTTAAACAAAAACAACATTAATATATACCACAATGAAACAATATTATAACAACATCAATATTCATCTCTTAAATCCTTTTTGCACAATATACATAACAAGATTAATATATACCACAATAAAACAATATTATAACAACATCAATATTCATCTCTTCAATCCTTTATGCACAATATACACAACAACAATATTAGTATATACAACAATGAAACAATATTATAATTACATCAATATTCATCTCTTCACTCCTTTTTGTACAATATACACAACAACAACATTAGTATATACAACAATGAAACAAAATCCACGATGAATATATAACTCTATCTTCTACATCGAGCTGCACCTATATAACCGAAAACAAAATCAAAAAATCAAAATTCATACAAGTTACCAAATAACAACAACAAAAACAATAATATTGTAACACAACTATAACGACATATATTATATTCTCAAAACTCAAAGTTATACCTTATAATAAAACTCTCAACTCCATAACAAATTGACACCAATCCTCCATAAGTTCATCCAATTGATCTTTTGAGTATGAAGCACACTTGAATTCATCAAAGTACTACATAATAATATAACATAGTATGATTTAATTAAAATACTAAGTCAGTTTATGAGAAATATGAAAATAATTCCTAAGTTAGAAATTCATACCGTGGATGGAATCTCTAATCGGTCCAAAAGAATAGTTTCTTTCATAAACCTCAACATAAAATAACCGCAATCTACACCATTGCGCTGACGAGGACACTACACATGGAAAGAAAATATGGATATACATCAAGATATACACCTTAACTTGTTTTATCAAGTATCATCGCTATATAATCAAAACTGTGAAAATCTATACCTCCACTTTGATCCAAGAAATATTGTTGACTCTACTCCTTGGTACTTGAATATCTCTTTGTGCTCGAAAACTTTGTAGAATGCTATAATAAAATAATAATGAATATTTAGAACTATCGCACATAAATAATTAAATATACACAGTAATATTTTGGAACAATGTCACTTACGTGTCAATCGTCTTCTTCATATCTGAGTATGTTGTCCAATCATTGCCCAATGAATCCAGATAATATACAATTTCTCTCACAGGATTAATTGCAACCAATAACCAGTGTCCACTGGAATATTTAACAAAGGTTAGATGGAAATTTTCTGCACAACGTTAAAAAACGAAAAATTATAATATAGGTAATTTAGAATGAAAATCTTACTTGGGGCCAGTATTATATGGTAAAAAGAACAATTTTTCTGTATCTTTGCTGGCCATAAATAAACTGAGCACAAATGCTATTACTTCATCTGGTTTTGCGATTATTGACCCTGCGTGGACAATGTTGGGATTTATGAAAGCGAATCTAGACTCCAATCCACGCGGGCGAATCAACTTGTCATACAGAAACCTTAAATAAAAACATCATTAACATTAATTATTCATTGAAATGAGTAAATAAATTTTGCAATTAATTAAACAAAGTTGATTGGAGTATACCTGATGTATGTATTGATAACAACCATGCCTAATGTCAAGTGTCCAAAAACTTGTTCCAAATCCTCCTTACCAATTGCTGTCATGCCTTCAGAACCATAAATCCCTTCATGCAGGGGTATAAGAGAAGTACCACCTTGCGAAATAGTTGTGAAGCTTATAAATGTCTGAAGGCACGACCTATATTGTGAAGTAGTTTTCTTTCTAGCCCCGAACCTCTTAGTAACACTCTTTGTTTATGTGGGAATGTTGCTAATTACAGGCTCCTTACCCCTACTTACAGCTTCAATCTCTTTAGCAGGAATAATCTAAATATCATAAAATTAGAGTGGTCAAGTATAGGACGACAAATTAACATTATCTAATCATAAATATCATATAACTTTGATGTACCTGTTTTTTTGTTGTCACTGACTCCTCTGGCCGCGTAATCCCTTTATCTTTTGGTTTGGGTTTTGTAGGAGTCTAACATTACCATGCAAAAAAATGTAAGTAAAACGAACGTAAAAAATTTGAGTACTAAAAGGTTCATAAAGGTTTTAATTATACCTCATCATCTATGCGAACAAGCCTTGACGGCCATGCAACAAACGCTCATATTGCCTCTCTCACCAATGTTGCATCCGAAACTTCATCTGGGATTGGTAATAACGCACCCTCCTCTAAAGCAATATCAATCGACACTTTCAAATATCCAGAAGGGAGCGGTTTATGATGAAGTACTTCTCCCAGAGTGTTATGGACATTTCCCTTGCCAACCATGCGATAAGTTGGTGTCTCTAAAAAGAGTTAACAAGGTGAAATACCCTAAAATCAATAATAAATATGACATCGTTAATGTGTATATATGTCAGTTAAATAAATTACACTAATTTAATTTCATAATAATATATGTAAGTACCTCGGGAATACTCGGTTGAGCTGCACAATTGACACTAGCTATGTCACTAGCTTCTTTAACACCCGAAGCTTCCCTTTCTGATTGGTATTGTTTTGCTTTTTCCTTCCTCAATTCAAGAACTTCAGCTTCTAATGCATCCAACCTGGCCTACAGTTCTTTATTGCTAGCAGATTTTGTCTTTGGATTGTTCTTTTTCAAGGAGGTTGGAGTAACCCCATGTCCTTTACCCCTCACCCGACCAGAATACTCACGAACATCTAATGCTCGATTAAGTATGCTCCTGCAATCAT